GCCTGTAATTGGATTGGATTTAAAGTCAGTGCTATATTAAAATCTCAAGGAATTAACACAGAATTTATTTTGAAAATATAGTGCATTGTAGGGATGTAACAATAACAGAAATACCGTGATATTGTATCGTCAAAGTTCTACAATAATATCGTGGACCATCACAATCAAAATACAAGACTCTTTGCTTAAATTAAGAGTTATGGTGCAGAAATTGTTAAAAAAAAAAAGACAGAGGAAACTGCATAGACCATGATCCTTTGCTCCATTTCAGTGCAGACTACAAGAAGAAATAACAGTTCTAAGCACTTTTAAGTCTTAGTTCTTTGGATTAAGTCTTGTCAAGGCATTTTAAGAAGAAAGTAGCATATTAACAGTTTTGTTTTTGCCTCCACAAAATATTGCAATAAGTATCGCACTGAGAGATTTGGATATTTTTACGTCCCTAATCGTGAGCCTCCCTACCATATCGTGAACTTTTCCACGATATCGAAATAAATATCGTACCGTGAGGTTCATAATGTGATGATTTCGTATCATGAGACTTGGATTGTTACACCAGTAATGCATTGGCAACACAAGTTAACATAAAATAATGTGGATCAAAATAACAAACTGTGTGCTTCTTGTTAGAATCGAATTAGTATTAGAATTCAACTGGCAAATGGTAAATGCTGCTATTTTTAAACTACCAATTTCCTAAATTCTGCAAAAAAAAAACCCAAAAAACTGCTGACCCTGTAGAGATGTATAAATATAGTCTGAAATCAGCCAGACTCAAATATATTTTTCCCAAATCCCAGCCCTACTTGTATATATATTTTTTGTTGCATTGCTGTCTCAGTGATGTAACCTCTGTGGCTTGTTTTTAGTCTGTTTATAGTCCAGCTAATAATTGAAGTTGATTTTGTCAATAATTGATTACTCTCGGTAAATCTGATTAGTTGTTGCCGCCCCAGCAAATATTTTAGGAGAGGTACTCAATAGTTACAATACAGTATCTGGAGCTTGAAATATGAGACTACTACAACTTCTACTACTGACGTTGTCTCTGGCCCTGAATAAAATGTAAATTGATGTAAAACAGTTGCAAATTCACTGGATTATCTGTAATTGAAGGAAGTAAATCTCTGCTCCTGATTTCTGATTTTAACTTTTTAGTGTGAGTTTTGTTCTTTTTGTTCATTTTTTTTTAATATATTGCCCAATTTTGATGCTTTCTTCAGTTGTACACCTTATTATTTGGGTTGAGACTGAACAAAAATATGGGTTATATTATGGAAAGATCCTATATGTGACGTTCAGTAGTTCAGTCAGTTCATTTGGCAGGAACCTGACCACCCCAGGCATATAATGTTGTTACTAACTACTACATTTCAATCTGAATGTTAAAGAAAAGCTTATTATTAATACCACAGATTTTTATTAGACTGTGAAATGTGATTTGTAATGCAAACTGATGGTAGTTTCTTGATTTGATGGGTCTTCCTCTTAGGCTTGGGCGATGTATAAGCAGCTTTTGAGGTCAAAATAAGTCCACTCTGTTTTGTCCGCATTTTATTGTTCGATATTCAAGAAGTAACTGTTAGCATGCTAGTTGTTGTTGGCTTTACTGACACAGCAAAACTTCACTCTGTTTTGCGAAAAGTGCTTTTAAACTCACTCCAGTGAATAATTAAAATGGTAAGTGAGAAATATCTTTGGATTAGGGTTGGGCCATATGGGGGAAAAAACAGAGTCACGTTTTTTTTGCCGCTTATATTGATCAGTCTCGATTGTTTTCGATTTGATCTTCGTCCATACACTTGTAGACTTCAGACTTAAGGAGAGAAAGATAAGTAGGAGAAAAGGTGAGGAGCTAGATGAGAGAGTGAGGGAGTGAGTGGGGCAGGTGACACTGGACTTTTAGTCAAATTGTGCAGATTTTAAGTCAAAACTTGTGAACATGTGAGGAGACAAAGGGATGCAGCTCATCTACTTTTCCTAAATAAAAGAGCGCAAATCCTTGTCAATACTTTGTGCTCTTACTCCCACATGATTGGCTATTGACCAGTCGATTTAAAATGGGCATGCCTTTTACTGTTTATTTGACACCTGTCTCTTGTCTTGTTTGCTACTTATTTAGAATTTATTATTACCATTTTTATTTTTGCTCTTTGTTATTATATTTATTGTGATGTGTGAGCTACTGTGTCCAAATAATTTCCCTTGTGGATCAATAAAGTTTGTCTAAGTCTGAGTCTTATCGAAATCGACTAAAGTAGAGATTGCGACCTATTGATTTTTCGATTTTTGGCACAGCCCTACTTTGGTGCTCTGCAAACTGTTTAAAATGA